GGCCGCGGCGGGGCGGCCTGCGACGCCGCCAGCCGGGCGGTCCCCGAGGCCCCGCACCCGCCGCCCCCCACGCACCTTCTTTGGTCTGGGCGTTGGTGATCTGCAGGTCGCAGTCGGCCGCCTTCAGCTTCTCACGGCCCATGATCTGGCGCTTGAGGTCGCACAGGGAGATGTGGAGGCCGTCGAAGGTGACCGTATCATAGTTCAGCTTGGAGGAGAACTTGTAGTGTACGCACGACATGGTGGGCGCCAGGCGGTGCCGGCTCCGGGACGGCGGCTTTCGCGGCGGGCGGCGTCGCGGCCTCCGCGCCGGTTAAGGCCGGAGGAGGCGCGGGGAAGGGCCCGCTGAGGGGGCCGGGGCAAGCGGCGCGGGCTGAGCTCGAGCGGGCCGGCGGCGCTCAGAGGCCGCGGCGCTCCGCCATAGCCAGGCCCCGCGGCCTGAGGCAGACTCGGCTGGCGGAGGCCTCAGAACTCCATGGCGGCGGCGCTGCGAGGCCCCGGCCCCCGCCCCCGCGACGAAGCCTCCGGCCCGCGGCGCTCAGCGATCGAACTGGGCCGCGACGGCAGCGGCGGCGGCGCCCGCCCGGCTCCTCCTCACAGCCCGGGCGGGCGGGCGAACGACGGGGAGAGGCCCAGCCGCCCGCCCCCCACCGCGGCCCCGGCTCGGCCTCCGCTTCCTCTCCCGCAGGCAGTGCTCCGCGGCCCGACCGCTGGCTATGGCGACTCGGGCGCCCCTGCCTCAGCCTGCGCCGAGGGGTTTCCCGGCCGCCAACCGCACGGGCCGCCCCGAAGCGCCTCAGTGCGCAGGCGTAACGGCTCACGGCGCAATCCCCCCCCTCCCTCCGCCGCACGCCCCACGTGACCCAGCGCAGGATGACAAAAGGCCCGCATCACGTGGACGCGGCGGTCCCGCCTTCCCCCCTCATGGCGCCCCCTAGGGGAGAGTGGTGACCGGTGGGCGTCACCGCCCGGGGCTGCGGCTGTCGCTGCTGTCACCCTCCCCGGCCTGTCACCACCTGGTATCCTGTCACCTCCCTCCCCGCGGTGTGTGGTATCCCTCCTGCCACCCCCCTGGGACTGTCACCGCCCGGTGTCCTGCCATCCTCTGGGCCTGTGGTGTCCCTCCTGTCACTGCCTGGCCCTTCACCACCCAGCATCACCTCCTGCCAGCCTCAGGGCCTGTGGTGGCTCTCCGGGAAGCTCTGGGCCCATCACTGCCTGATGTCCTGTCACCGCCTGATGTCACCCCCTGGGCCTGTCACTGACTGGTGTTCTGTCACATCCCCCATGTGTGATATCCCTCCTGCCACCCCCCTGGCCTGTCACCCCCTGGTATCCCTCCTGTCACCCCCTGGGCCTGTCACCGCCCGGTGTCCTGCCATCCTCTGGGCCTGTGGTGTTCCTCCTGTCACTGCCTGGGCCATCACCTGTTGGCCCCAGGGTCTGTGCTGGCTCTCCCAACAGCCCTGGGTCCATCACTGCCTGATGTCCTGTCACCCCCTGGGCCTGTCACTGCCCAGTGTCCCGTCACAACCCCAGGTGTGTGGTATCCCTCCTGTCACCCCCTCAGCCTGTTACCCCCTGGTGCCTGCCACCCCCCAGGCTGTGGTGTTCCTCCTGTCACCCCTGGGCCTTTACCACCCAATATCATCTCCTCTTGGGCCCTGGGCCTGTGGTGGCTCTCCCAACAGCCCTGGGCCCATCACTGCCTGATGTCCTGTTACCCCCTGGGGCCTGCCAGGCCCCAGGCTGTTGTGGTCCTCCTGTCACCCCTGGGCCTTTACCACCCAATATCATCTCCTCTTGGGCCCTGGGCCTGTGGTGGCTCTCCCAACAGCCCTGGGCCCATCACCGCCTGATGTCCTGTCACCTTCTTGGCCCGTCATCGCCTGATGTTCCTCCTGTCACTCCCTAGGCTGTCACCGCTCAGTGTCCCCTCGCAACAGCAGCCAGCCAGGGCAAGGCAGCCTGGGTGAGACGCAGTGAGGGGCCAGTGAAGGGACGGGACACCCCTTCTGGAACCACCCAAGCTTCAGAGGGCTTCCACATCCCACCTTGTCATTGAGAAACAACAGCAGGTGTTCCTCCTGTCACTCCCTAGGCTGTCACCGCTCAGTGTCCCCTCGCAACAGCAGCCAGCCAGGGCAAGGCAGCCTGGGTGAGACGCAGTGAGGGGCCAGTGAAGGGACGGGACACCCCTTCTGGAACCACCCAAGCTTCAGAGGGCTTCCACATCCCACCTTGTCATTGAGAAACAACAGCAGCTTTTCCCTGACTTCCTAGATTAGTGAACAAACGACACCACACATCATTAGGTTTCCATTTCTGCTCAGAAGGGGCCACACCAAAGCAGCGGCTGGGTAAAGCCCCCCAGCACCAGCCCTGTGCCCAGGTCAGAGGAGTCACCCCCACGCTGCCCATGCCAACATCCAGCAGGGACAACAGCACCCAGGTGGGGAGAGGATCCAGGTGAGCGGGGACGAAAATGGAAGAACAAAATCACGCTCTTGTATCTTTGTGTCTGCCTCTCAAAATGTCCCATAAAAACACAAATGACTGAATGTATAAAGCAGTTAACACCGCTGACAGGCAGCCGAGCATCACCCCAACATCACAGACAGGTCTGACAGGCTGACTGGAAAACCAGTTGAGAGCAGATTTCAAAAGGATTAGATATGTTCTCATTTTCAAAGGAAAGGATGGTTAGTCTAGACTAGAAATGAGAAAGAAATTAATTAGAAGAGGGAACAGAACTTGAGCAGAAATAAGGAAATTAAATGCTGTGTGTAAACAGCAAAATAAACCGCATGAGACAGAAAAATCATTATCATCTTACAGTTTTCATTATGCAGGCAATGACTGCAACTTAAAATATCTATTAATGTTTCATTATGCAGATTATTACTTTTTAGTAAAGGAGCTATTTGTTATTTCCACAAATCTATAATGCAGACTTTATTTTCTTTCCAGGAATCTAAGTCTTTTACACGATCAAGCAATTTATACCACGTACATTTCTGTATGAATCCTCATTTTTCCTTTACCAGTTATTTGCCCACTAATATACTGCAGAAAATTAAATTATACAACAAATATTAGTCACTTTCTTGTGGATTTCATATTTTTATTAATGTCATGATTAACCCCCCAGCTGTTTAAATTTATGTACAGGTCGCACATCCAACCCACTTATTCAAACTTACAAAATACAATCTTTCAATTTAAAAATAGTTCTCTTTACTGCAGTACAGTTCTCTGCACTGCAAGTACAGAGAAAACCTTTTGAGTATCAGCTGGCGCAGGGCTATCTAAAAGAAATCAATCCAAAGACAAGTTTGAGCAACCTGGTTTAGTGGGAGGTGTCCCTATTTACATTCCAAAGACAAGTTTGAGCAACCTGGTTTAGCGGGAGGTGTCCCTGTTTACAGCAGGGAGGTTGGAACTAGACAATCTTTAAGATCCCTTCCAACCATTCTGTGATTGTTTGATAAGTACATTTTAAAAGTAAAAATAGTGAAGACTAACGGACTTGGAAAAAACACATCTAAAATTTTAGGCTAGGAAATTTCTGATATCTGAACCCTACAGGTAACATTTAGGGATTTCGTCCACTCCAGAGGAAAAAGGATCTACACGAACAAGGGACAGTCAGATAAGTAGAGCCTCCAAACTACACTGGTTCTGTGTAAAACAATTTGTCTCCATTAGAGATGGGGGAGGAGATTATCTTTGGCTTAGTTTTCCTTAATTAGAGAATGTCAGCATACCCAGATGACCATTTTTTAGACCAGCTTCCACCTAAGTACCAGATCTGTCATCACCGGCCGTATCGACTTGTTCTGAAGCAGGTGTGGGCACAGCAGTACCGTGCTGGTACCTGCAAGGTATCATCTAGGTAAGGTCTGTGGGGACAGGTTTACCTCTTCTATAAACTTCAGCAGAATTTGTGCCAGGTCTGCCCACTGTATCAGGTTGTCCCAGCCCTTTTAATGTGGTGTTATGTGTCCTAAAATGAATGCAATTGCTGATGAAGCCCAGCCTTAGGGTTTGCTCACACAGCAAAGAGATGATGTGTCCGAGGTGACCAATGTCTTTATGCCTCCCAGCTCAGCCCTGCCCTGCCCATGATTAATCCCTCTCCAGAGCCCAGCAGAACCTGCTTGGTGGCTCCTTCAAGCCTTTCAGCCCAAAGAGCCTGACCTGGTGATGATCTGCAGCTCAGGCTGTCCGAGTTAAAGCTGATCATTTAGACTCAAGCAGGTTAAGGGATGCTCCGGCGAGCAACCGAGTTGTGAGAGTGAGGGAGTAACCTCTGGCAGGAGGGTGGTGAGAAGAGTTACAGATTGCAACCTGGGTGATGGCCAGACAGCTGCACCCAAAGGAGGATATGAGACCAGATCCTCACTGCCTGGGAATGCTGCCGGATCTTTACTTAGACAAATTCACTTACACAAGAGGTTCGACATGCCGGTTAAAGGATGTTTACCACACTCAACAGAAACGCTCGCGTCATAACAAACAATTAGCTTGCTGTTGCAGCACATAAAGTATTCTCAATTACCCGTGTTTATAACTTCAAAAAAAACCCAAATCAGAACCTCCTAGGGAGGCAAGAAAATACTCCTTGACTTTCAGAGGGAGCTGGGTTACCTTCTGAAAGCCGTTCAAAAAGGTGAGCATTAAGGCTTGGTGTTCTCTGTACACCTGTTGGCACCAAGACTATTTTTTTGTAGCTTTAAATTACTTCTGTAACTCTTTTGCTTTCAAATGCATTCAGAAGTAAATCATTTTCTAGGTTATGCAAAACAAACTAAAATGTAAGTTACCCACGTTTTGTCACCATTTTAGGTCATACTCACACATTAGTTAAAAAAGGGGAATAAAGAGAAACTATTTGCTTAAAAATGTAGTTTCAGTGTTTTACCGTTACAGATTATTAGGAGCTGTGTAGGGAACTTCATCTCATTTACCACTTCATTGATTTAGAAACAGCTTGTCTATGTACAGCTCTGCTGCGCTGCACTGAGCACCTTTTACTGAGCGCAGTTGTCTGTGCTGCTTTAATTCTGAAATTCTGAGGGCTGCCTGAGATGGAATCGTTCCGGAGTGTCTGCAAAGGAACTGTTGTACAACTGAGCAACACAAAAAGAAACAACCCCTCCCATTAAAACCAGAAAGGACAAATTATTTCTAATAGCTTCCGAGCTGCAGGAGCAGGTCTCTTGAAAAGGACATGCAAATAAGCACGTTGGCAGAGGAAGAAGGAATGTATTTGCATTTCCTTCTTCAATCTGTTTTGTCAGGAACCTTTGAGCTCTGTGCAAGACAAGAGGATGTTGCGTTGTCACGTGTGCTCGGGGCTGGAGCGATCCCAGAGCCCAAATCACCACCTGCAGAGCCCAGCGCCCACACGGCCAGTTTTGCAGGAACATCCACATTGCGCTGTAAGTCACAGTTCCTCAGCTCGGTGTCATCAGTCCAGCTTCCGAGGCAGCACAGCTGCTCTAAGCAGGCACTGGTTAAAGCTAAACTTTAATTAAGAATGACAATGTCACTAATACACTTACAAAACCCCAAAACAAAACATAAAACTCTAATTCTTATCTGCTCCCGCCCTCTTCTGCTTAGCTCCTCTATACCCTGTGTGCACACACCACAGTCACACCAAACAGTGGCTCGCCACCACATCACACCAGCTTATTACCATTGATAAATTATCACATTTTGACCACAGTGATCAAAACTTGGAGCCTTAGAGGGTGGCAAATGAAGGCATCTAATTAGACAAGAGGAATATCATGCAAAC